CAGTTGAGACCATAATCTACCACAACAACAATACACCAAAATCACATACTATAATATACTACAATAATATACTTTAACATAGTATAATATACTTTCATATACTACAAAAAAACTTTTACACGAGCGCCCAAAGAAGATGCCATAGTATGAGCAGCTTCCTCTTTGATCGAGGTGCTTCCTGGAGAGCTGGCCATTTGGACACATCAGAGGCCACTATTGGGGTTATATTAGGGCTCTATTGGGGTTCTTTTGGGTTATTATATTAGGGGAACATTGGGATAATATTAGGGTTATGTTGGGGTTATATTAGGGTAATATTGGGGTTGTTTTGGGGTTCCACTCATAGTGATTAGAGCGCAGTTGCCGAGAGAGAGTGAGAGAGTGTTGCCAAGAGAATTTCATGCTGCCTACGCAGCTGAACGAGTCGAATAGGCCAAAAGGCGTTTCATTGGGTCCCACGTGCTTGCTTCAATACACGGAAAGCCTCATCCTGAACCAAAATCGCCTCAGCGCGCCCAAACCTAGAAGACTTCTTGCCCTGATTGGAAGGAGCCGCTGCGCCTACGTACGCAGGCTGGGAGGCTTTGTGTGGCCTGGCACCTCCTGACAGCTTCGCAAGCAGAAAGCCTATGAGCTATAGTCTAAACTCCTGGTTATATAGGGGATTATATAGGGGACTTCCATATAGGGGTTATGAAGGGGGATACTAGGAGTTTAGAACATGGCTCATATGCTCAATGCTTTTTGCGGGGCCTTGGCCCGTGTGCCGTTTCTGTTGCAGGAAATGTTGCGGGACATGCTTGGAGTGCCCACTTCCTAGTTGTGCTTTTGACTATTGCGGCCAAAGTGTGAGTAGCAGGTTTGGTGCGTAGGCAGCCGATTGTGTTGCTTAGGTTTCCTTGCGACTTGGCGCTCATACGAAGCCCGGACGAGCATCCCGGCTCAAGGGTTTAGGGGTGTCCGTACGTAACCTCGTCGCGATAGACAAAGCTCGCCAAGCAGCGATTGAATGTATATTATGGCTGCAACACTTAGCCTGTTTCTGAATGTCAGAAACCTGTGGATCCAGAGGGTCGTCACATGAGGGTCAAGGCTTTTGAGCTTCAGTCGCGATAGGGCCGTTTCTCTGTATACGGTAGGGGTTTCTCAAAATTTGGGGTACCCTTTTGGGGGTCCCCACGATAAGGATTATAGTATTTTGCGGGTCTACATTGGGGTCCCCTTACCTTTGGAAACTACCATATCTGCAGGTTGAAGCTTCGGAAGCATTGTAAACCGTATCTGGAAGACACTGAAAACTTTTGAATATCCCCAATATAACCCAAATATAACCCCAATATTACCCTAATATAGCCCTAAAATTACCCCAACATAACCCCATTAGAAGCCCCCAAAAGGATAAAGCCACGAGTGTGGCAGGCACATGTGGGGAATGCATGGCACAGATTCCATGGGTGAGAGACACGACCCAGATGCTGACCCGGGAAGATCAGCGTCATAAGTAGATAAAATATTAGGATCATATATTGGGGTTATATAGGGATGATGGAAAAGAAAATGGAAACTGTTTCATTATAGTCATTATAATTGGGTATATATTGGGGATATATAGGGATAATGGAAAAGAAAATGGAAACTACTATTTTCAGTTTAGGTTTTAGGGTCTAAAAGGGTTATCATCTGTGGGTATCTGATAGTACGAGTGAAAATCAAGGCCCAACTGCACCACACAGGGAGGTCAACCAAAGTCACCAGCAAAGCGTAGGGGATCATGCTCAATGCTTAATTCCAACACATGCGTGTCTGGCTTTCAAATCACGGGCATTTTGTATCATCCTGCCAATTTCTAATTCTTACTGGTATAGCGAAAAGCAGCTGTGTTGACATGTTTGTGCTTGGTTTCGAGCTCTATGCAGGGCTTCCCTGATGCCACGTCTGCGTGTGCATCCAGCATGTTGCTTTAACTTGTCAGTACAGCAAGTTTGCGAGTCGCATGCATGCCCTGCCATAGGCATTAATATCTGCGAGGTCTCTCGTTCTTGGATGTGTTGATCCTATTGTTCCGGCACTCCGTGTGGGCGGAACTCTAGTTAGGCTTGTCCCTGAGCACTTCCTGAGGTTCGTGCCGATGGATCCCACAGTGCCTAGACTCAGACCTGGCCTCTATGTGGGAGACTACGGCCATGCCTACTATGGCCGCTGGGACTGAAACACCCAAGCCCCCTGATTAGGGCACACTAACATGAGATTTGTGCAAAACATGACTTGTGTGACGAGTCTAGGTCAGTTTCGTACGGAAGTTTTGCTTCTGGACTACGTGCACTTGACCGCAGCGGAGCTGGAAGAAGAGATTCAGGCTGTGACATCTAAAGCCAGCGCATGTTCAGAGTTAGGTGTCGGTTTAGAAGTCTCGCATCAGGCACCACGGCAGCTCTTCACACGACCTGGTGGTGAACCACCTCCAGCAGAACTGTCAGTGCTGGCTGGTCTGGGCATGCCGTGACACGGCCTCAAAGAAAGCCAAGCTGCCTTCGGGGCATAAACCCAAGTTTCAGGGTGAATTTGGACTTGCGAAAGGCAGCCAACCCACCAAGTGCTGGTTTGCGCGTTGATGCACTGCAGGGCAGAAGCACTAGCACGCGACAACGCCTAGAAGCCATCTGGACTGCTGAACAGGCTACAGTAGATGGTGGTGCCGATCAAAGCTAAAGCTGAGGATTGCTTTCATGCGGGGCGTCAAGCAATGCGGAGACACCCGACTGCATGCTCTGGTCCCCCTTCCAGAAGACAATTCGCAGATGCTGCCAACATTGTTATCATGACGCCTTCTCATATCTTTTTTGATGTTTCCCCGTGCTGCGGCGAAAGCAGAATCTGTCTGTGCCATGCATGTGTTTTGTTTGAATCATGTAGCAACTCCGCACTTGCCCAAGGACATTCATGTGCCTCTGGGTGCCACTACATTTGTGGCAGTCTGCTCCCCGCCTGAGGTGCTGCACTGCACGTGCTGTGGGACTTTGTGGCTCTACCATGATCAGGGATCCCCACGTAATTACCATCCCGAAATCAGAAGGAACCACATTGGCAATAACGGAACCTGCAAATGCACCCTTGCAACCCTAAACCCTAAACCCTACACCAGGCAGAAAGGTTGCTGGCAGCACACGCCCAGCCGCCTTTGCGCACACTGAATCGGCAGAACCCAAGCTGCAAACCAGACAGGTTGAGTATGCCTACGGTTTAGGGTATTGGGTCTAGGGTTGTATTTTACGGTGTGTCACCACCTCGTGGGTGGTCCCCAGAACAAATGGGTTGTTCTCAAAATTAGGGCCCCTTTGGGTGGTAGATTTTATTTCGGCACCGAATATTTAGGGGTACCAAAATGGGACCATAATTTTGGGAAGTACCCTAAGCCCTAAATTTCCCTAACTAGTAGCTTCCATTGTCTTTTCCGTTGTCCTAAATAACCCCCTATTTTGGGAACTGCTGACATGCAAAGGACCGGGCAGTGGGAGGCAGTTGTACGGTCCTGGCGAGGCTTTGGGACGTTGGCAATGCCAGGCAGGAATGAAAAGGGTTGAGGGGTTTAGGGTTCATGCGAGCCATCGTCTAAACTCCTTAAAGGGGGGTTATACAGGGGATTGCTGTAGGGAACTACTATAGGGGTTATTAAGGGGGATACTAGGAGTTTAGACTACAGCTCATGTTAAACTGGGTTGCTGTTAAGGAACTTACTTTAAGTTACTATATTACCCCCCTACAATGGAGAGTCAAATGGAAAAAACATGGAGCATTCTATGGAAAGTGGGGGAATATGGGGATTTAAGGAACTTAATTTAAGTTACTATATTGGGGAAACCCTATTAATTAATATGTATATATATATACACATACCCATTACGGTAACTTAATTTAGACTCCTTAACAGCAACCCAGTAGAGGCCTGGCACTCAATGCAGATATCTTGCATAGACTTGCATGGAGGCAGAAAGGTGGTTTTTGGATGATTGCCTCCAAGCCTGCAGGACATTTGTTGGAGTGTGCAGGGTTTTGTTGGATCTTCCTTCACGCGAATCTCGCTTCACATTCGCGCTCCAGGATCAAGCCGGTTTATGCCAAAGCGCACAGCAGGTGAGATTTCGTAGCCCATAAGACCACAAAGACGGGAAAGCAAAACAGAAGACTGAACCTGGAGCCTGAAGGAGCTGCACGATGCGACAACAGTCCCATTCCTTGAAAGATTGATACTATATTAGGGCTTAATCTTAGGATAATGGAAAAGAACATGGAAACTACTACATAAGAGGTGCTGCAAGCATGGCATGCTTCTTGTCTTGCAGACACTGAAGCAAAGGCGTAATCCTCTTAGATCAACAGAGGCTCCTTGTCAATCTCCGCAGTCTGCTCAGCGCGCGGATTCCCAGTTGCGGCGCTTGATTTGCAGGCTTCCAACACCCCAGCTGGCGGCAGGGCTGGCTGGTCCAGCTACAGGGTGTGCAGAGTCATCGTTGCTTGGAGTTGCAATGGAGATAAAGTGCTTTGGTGCTGTTTTCTTGGGGTTGCAGCTGGCCCGAACAGAAAGAGCGTTGGTGTGTCTTGAATCGTTAAAACTTGGTTTTAAGGAAGGTGGAGACTGCTTGCTAAACATGGCATCACGCCATGGTAGGCCTCGATAACCCAAGCATGTCCTGAGCATTTCCGTGAGGCTTTGGCTTTGTGTGGGATCGGAACCAGGATGCAGTCGTCCTCAAATGGAAGCTCGGACGATGAACTTTTCCTGACATTGCGCGTGTGCCACATTTTTTTTTATCAGCATTCACGTTGTTTGGAACGTGGTCTGTCTTCTGTTGGCTTAGGCTGGCGCTTCAGGACTCATGTCCTTTCCTGCAAAGAAGCTGGCTTCCTGCGGACATTCGCTGAAAAGTGTCTGTGATGTTGCCAGCTTGCTTGCATCGATTCATTTCCAAAAAACGCTTGCTCAACATGTAGATTCTTGCGAGGTCGGCTTAGCCTTGATGTTTGCAATGATGGCAGACGCGCAATGCCCTCGGACATGTAGGATTCGCAGCGTTGTGGCCAATCTGTTGCTACATCTTCCAAGGCTGTTCATTGCGAAATACAGCAAGGACATGGGTGAAAATACAGGGCTGGAGGTTGGGTTCAGTTTTCGGTCTGCCTCCTCCACTTGACCGACAATACTTCACTGTCAACTTCTGAAGACCTGGTGTGCTGCAGCGAGTGCTGGGTGGAGTAGATGTGAGTAGCGTCAGTCTACCGCCTCTAGGCCGGGATCCTTCTCCACATGACCTGAGCAGGAGCGAGAGGCCAGAAATGCCGAAAAGGCTTACTGGAATGAGGACGGCCAATCAGGGTGGATACCCCCGCTGACAGCGTCATGCCTAGACTTGGCCGTGTCTTGTTAGCATCGTCCACCTGACCTGCTGCAGCGCGAAGCAGGACGAACCAGTGGAGGAGGTCTATCGAAAGGTTTCTGGCTTCATTCAGAGGCGTGTTGCATCCAGACAGCGCAGATCCCGTGCACCACATCTAGCTTTTTGTGAGCTACCGTGACCATTTTCACAAATGAAGTTGTGCTCTGTCGTGCCGCAGAATCATGATCCGCTTCTTTCCAATGATCTATGTGAGATACCGGAAAATGACCGAAAGGCCAGGTTGATTCCGCAGATTGCTTCTCGCTGCATGCGAGCATGCCAACCATGCCCGCAGGCTGTCAACGCCAGATGACGATGGCGGGTCTGATACCTCCAGCAAGGCATAGTATGGATGCATATCAGCTATATGTACATGATTATATAGGGGACGACTATAATGGTTTTGAGGGGGGGATACTACCAGTAGGAGATTAGACTATGGCTCATATGAGCTCTAGTCTAAACTCCTTAAAGGGGGGTTATAGAGGGGATTATATAAGGGACTACTATAGGGCTTATTAAGGGGGATACTAGGACTTTAGACTATGGCTCATCTAGCTTCAACATCAACACCCAGAATAGAGATTTCGATAGCTCTTCACATCCCTGCAAGTGGGTGTATAACCCCAATATAACCCCAATATAGCCCCAATATAACCCTAATATAACCCCAATATAGGCCCAATATAACCCTAATATAACCCCAATATAACCCTGATAACGAATGGCTCATATAGGCTTTTCTAGCAGCAGTAGTGCTCGAGAGCTCTTCGCCAGGGAAGGCGCAAACAGGCGGCCCTTGAGGACAAGAACGATCGCGGCAGCGCAGCGTCGCTGCAGCTCTCTTTGTGTGTGTAGGTGGAAACTACTATGTCAAAAATAGGGTGTATATTGGGGATAGATTGGGGTAATGGAAAAGAACATGGAAACTACTATATTACAAGCGAGTGAACTGAACTCGACTGCGAAGCACTTGTGCTGGCAGATTGATTCCTGCATGCCAGGGGCGGCAAGAAGTCGACAGATGATGACTTGCAGCCATCTGCTAAGAAAGCTGCAGGATGATTCGACCGGCAATCAGTGCTTGATGTGCTACTCTTAGCGTGCCAAGTTCTAGTTCAGCCCCACAATGCTGTAACTACCCACACGCCGAATCTGCGCTGAAAGAGCTAGTTCGTCTTTGACAAGACCCCCTACATAATCCCAGTTTCCATTTCCTTGTCCATGTTCTTTTCCATTTGACTCTCCATTCTTGGGGGTAATGTGCCTAATTTTGGGACCCCAAAACCTAAACAGTAGGTTCCATGTTCTTTTCCATTATCCCTATGTATCCCCTATATACCCTATCATACTATAATAATTTCCATTTTCTTTCCATTATTCCTAAACTACCCCTATGTAATCCTAACGGATCCGGGGTAAGGGTCATTGATTGTGATGACCAATCTTACCCGCTGCAGTTCAAGCCACTCGGGCTTCAGCCACGACAGCAGCGAGGGGCCGCTGAAACCTGGAGCAGAGGACACGTTGGCCCGCATCATGTGAATCCAGGTGCCTGCCAGCATGAGGGCAGTAATAATAGTAGTAATAAGAATCGTGATAGAAATGGAAATAATAATCGTAATTGCGGTAGTCATAGTAATTGTCATAGTAATTGTCATAGTAATAGTAATTGTAATAGTAGTAGTAGTAGTAGTAGTAGTAATAATAACGGCAGTCACAGTAAATGGGAAAGTGAACACAAAATTCAGGAGCTCAAGCGAGCTATCGAGCACATGTCTAGCACTCGTGGGGTGTTGCTGCTTTGGAACATCATGTGCCCAGACCCCTGGGCGGATCTAGAAAGTAGAACCCCCTTAAGGGATTCTAGAAATTACTCAATAGGGTACCATATTGGGCGTTCTACTTTTTAGATCCTCCCAGGGGTTTGGGAATCTATACCCTATGATAATCTAGCAAGTTCCATGTTATTTTCCATTATCCCTATATAACCCCAACCCTAAACCCTAAACCCCTATATAACCCCATTGTAGTAGCTTCCATTTTATTATCCAGTATCGCCACATAGCCAGATATATACTCTACTATATTGTTGTAGTTTCCGTTTTCTTTTCCATTATCCCTACATACCCACATATAATCTACAGTCTAGACTCCAAGTATCCCCCTTAATAACCCCTATAATACGCCCTTATACAATCCCTTATATAGCCCCCCCTTTAAGGAGTTTAGACTATATCCCTACAACGCCCCTATACAATTCTATATATAAAACCATTATACAAACCCTTATATCCCCCTCTAAAGAAAATATATATTTTTATAAAGCCCCTACAAAACCCTTATATCCCCCTTTCATGGAACCTTGGAATCTGGATGCTGCAGACAACGTGCAGACCCTTAACCCTAAACTCCTAAACCCCTAAACCCTAAACCCTTACTCCCAAAACTTAAACCCCTAAACCCTAAACCCCAAACCCTAATCCCTAAACCCTCCCTGAACCCCTAAACCCTAAACCTCCACAAGCGAGCGAGCCTAGGTCCGGACGAATCCTCTCAGAGCTGACCTTGGTGGGCATTGAGGTGAAGCAGGGCTCCTGGAATAATATGCTTGGTGTAGGGTTTAGGGGTTTAGGGTTTAGGGTGTTTTGGGAGTAAGGGTTTAGGGTGTCTAGGGTTTAGGGGTTTAGGGTTTAGGGGGATATAGTCTAAACTCCTTAAAGGGGTGTCATATAAGGGATTATACAAGGGAGTATTGTAGGGGTTATTAAGGGGGATAGCAAGAGTTTAGACTGCATATTATATAGGGGCTATGTGGGGATAATAGGAAATAAAGCGGAAACTACTACTTAGGGTTTAGAGTTATATTGAGATTATATAGAGATAGTGGAAAATGGAAAATACTACAATGGGGTTACATAAGGTTTGGGGTTTAGGGTTGGGGTGATGTAGGGATACTGGAAAATCAAGTGGAAACTACTACATTATCATACGGTATATTTGGGGTTATATTCAGACAATAGAAAATAATAGAAAATCTAATGGAAACTATCACTTGGGGCACAAGCACAAGACAGGAGAGATAAACCCTAAACCCTAAGATTGAGGTCTGAGCTGCACGACGTGACGGAGCGAATTGCTCAAGCCTTGGTGTTTGCACTGATGTGCTGGGCTGTTGTCAAGGAACTTAGGGTTTAGGGTTTAGGGTGTCTGTTGTCAAGGAGTTTAGTTAAAGTTACCATAATGGGTATATATATATATAGAGGAATTAATGGGAGGGCTTTCCCCAAAAAAACAACCTTAATTGAGATCCTTAACAGCAACCCAGTTTGTGAGTCTTCCGGCGAGAGATCAAGATTGACACTGAAGCCATAATGTGCCCTAAACCCTAAGCCCTAGACCCTAAACCCAAAACCCTAAACCCTAAGCCCTAAACTGTGGTCTAGGCACAGATGCAGATGGCCGTTGAAGAGCTGGCCTGGCGAATGGAAAAGGCAAGAAAGCTTCTCCCCAGACTCCCTAAAGGATC